AAAGTTTTTTTTGGGAAATTTTAATCGATTTAAAAAAGAATAATGTAAAATCGTATGTTTTAATACATTACATATAAGTTACAAGAAATAGTTTTTACACATATTCAAAGTACCTTAATATCTTTATTATCCTAAACATTTCTATTAAAGTTTGCTTTCCCTTTATCTTAATACAAATAATACAGTTAAGTTTTGATTATTTTCCAAGAAATGACTACATAAAAAATAAATTTTATTAATGATTTTTTTTAAAAAAAATTTGATATTCAACCGCCGAATATTCGGGATTTGGCGAAATCACTATTCATTACATCCCTAGTTTTAACCATCATGTTTGTTTTGTTTTACATAGTTATATTTTAAAAGACCAAGTTAATTTAAAAAGACTTCATATTTATATCTAAGTAAAAACCTTTTTACATAGATATAAATAATAATTATAAGTGCTTCATCCATTATGCTCCCCAAATATTTTAACAAATAACTCGTATTGTTTTAAAACTTGTCTAAAAACCCCAAATCTTGGTATGGAAAATATTAAATAATTATGAATAAAAATGTGTCCATTACAATTTACCCAAGCCCTTAACTTGCTTAATTATTTGAAATAAAAAAAAAATGCGAAATTAGTTTTCATTTTTTCACTTTTCTCAAAGCAAACAGGGGCTACCATAGATAATCCCTGGGGACTACCAACAATCAAAAAGAAAAAAAAAATTGATGCCTTTTGTACACCAAGTTCATTTTTCAGTTTTGTATGAGTAAGACCAAAAATTATGCTAAGCTGTATACACTAGAACGTTGACATACTAAAATTATTATAACATAATAAAATAACATGTAATTAGAAAATTTATTCTAATAACCGTACTAAATATTGATAGTTATTAACTAAACGCTTGAATTGATTGATCTAAAAAATTATTAACTCATTTAAACAAACATTTATATATACATATATTTTCAAATTATAATTAGTTTACTAACCAGGGAATATATTAGAGTCGATTTATTGGAAATATGTACATCTAAGCAGAAGTGGAAAAAATTCTCCGAATATTTCCTCAGAACAAAGTTTTATTCTTTTACTTTATTGATATTTCCCCAAAAATTTTATAACATTTTTTCTTTTAGTACAATAACTTTTTTAAAATATTTTTGGAAAGTTTATAAATATATATATATATATAGAATTCGCTTTAGATTTTACACAATTCTTGAATAAACGAGCATTTGTTAAAAATTATTAGAAATCAAAATATATATATTAGAATTAGTAATAATTTATTAAAGGTCCCACTCATAAATTTAAGAAATTCAAATAAATACATGAAATTGACATTTAATGTTTTTTAACAAAGGAAAATTTTACTAAGCAACAATTATTTTAACAATAAAAAATTTTGCATGCATTTATTTGGACCGAAATTTTTTCTTTTGCTGCCTGAATTTATCTCAAAATTTAATTTTTCAATAGAAAAAATTAATCACTTTTTTAAAACACCCAATGAAAAAAAGCACCTTTAAAACGCTACACACCTTGGACCTTAGTTTTAATTAAATTTATAAATACAAATTATGATTCATAATTTTTTTTCTTCGAAAATTTTTAAAAGCATAAGCTTTAATTTTTAAATAATTTTTGAGACTTCTTTTTAAAATCATTTTTTTTATGAATTTTTAGATTTCAATATCTTATCCTTGTTAAGTTTTTTTGCTGATGTGTAATATTTTTTAAGCCTACTGGTTCTTGAATTATTCAAATCTTGTCATTACGATTTTTTCAAAAAGTGTGGGGAGGGAGGGAATTATGTCACAAAGGAAAATCAGTTTATTTTTTTATAACTTTGATAAGTAAATGTAACTTAAGTACAAACAATAAGAGTCTATCATTCAGCTGAATTGGAAATACCTGCTCATGACAATTCTTACCGTTCAACTTGTAAGTTTGCAAAAACCTTTGTCCTCGCAACACCATCCTCTTCACATATTCAAAAAGCCACTGTAATGGAGAATGCAACAAACACTTCCATTGCATTCCTTGGAGTGAAAAATTACAAATATAAATTATATTTCCCCCCCATTAATTTTGCAACTTGAAATGCAACTTGTATTTTATTTCTAAAAGAAAAGCATTTTCACTCGCTAAATTTTCGTAGGAATTAAAATAAATAAAAGCTTTGAAAATATTTTAAAAATTGTAGTTCAAAATCGTATTGCTGCTAAAGTTTTTTTTTTTTTTTTAAATTCAACACAAAGAATTTTAAAATTACAATTTACAGTACAACATTTTACTCTTCTTCAAATCAACAGAAGTACTTAAAGTATCTTTCTCATGAGCAAAAAAAATAAAGACTAAGTGCTTATTATCCGACAACAAATATATTTTATCAAAGAAGCAACCCATCACGTTAATGTTTCGTAAATCATGCCCTGTAAAAATTCATTCTTAAAAAAAAGGGCAATTTTCTATGCAATTCTTCAATATACCACAAAATTTTTCCTGTAAAATTTAAAGAATGAATTTATTATAGGATAATTCTTATTATCTGAGTGACAGACACACTATTAGACTATTTGCTCCCAATAAAAAAAAATTAAATAAAATTTTTGTCAGATTTTCCTCTTCAAATGAATTGATAACAAATAAGACGTTGAGAGTAAAAATTAAGAGAAATAATCAATTTTATTTCCTTCCTAAATTGTATAGGTACTGGGTGAACAAATCTTCAATTAAAATATTTTAGGGAGCCTGGTTTATTCCTATTTAAGTGTGAAATTTATAGTGCAAGAGAAAAAAATTGTAGCAGAAGATTATATGTTACACAGTATATATATTCATATGCCATTTCTGCGTCGAGTGATTTAGTAAAATTATAAATTGTACGTTGAGCAGTACATTACTTTAGTAATATTTAACAAAAAACTTTAATAGTCAGTAAATAAAATTAGTAAATTTTAGTGAAAATTGAATTTATGAATTTTAATTTCCAAAATATATATAAAATAAAAGTAAAAAATGTCAAAAAAAAAGATACAAATTTTCCAAGGTAAAAACAGATGTAGGAAATGCATGGAATATCTTACACAATGAATATGGTATAGGCTTTTTAATTATCTTTCTTTCCTCTCATTAATTAGTCTCCTTAAACTGTATGAAAATTATATATATAACACAATAAAGATTAAAAATGTTAAAAGAATTTTTAAAAAAACAAAGAATATTAAAAAAAATAATAAGTTTTATTTACTGTGCGTAAGTTGCAAGTATATAGAACTCATAAAATAAGTTAAAAATGTAGAGAAAACACGAAATATAATAAGGAGAAGAATTTTTTCATTATTATTAAAAAAAATTTAAAAAGCCGAAAACAGAATAATGAAAATATAATCTTGTAATCAGCTCACATGATTCTATCTGCAAAAAAAGAGTGCTTTCTAATATTGTATTCATATAGCTAAAGCAAAATATATCAATACACTATTGTGAGGAGCAGCAAAAAAATTGTAATGACAAAAGAACTAGTTGAGCAAAAAATGCAAAGTAAAACAATGAAGCAAAAATAGAAAAAACAAGAAGATACAGAATGAAACACAAAAAGTAATATACTAAGAGAATAGCAAGTCGAATGTACTTACACGGAACAGAATCTTTAAAATTGATTTAAAATACTTTTGTAACATGTTTGCCAGATTACAAAATCTGAAAATATAAGCGTAAATAGAATTTGAGATCTTTTTATGGCGCATTCTTACTGAAGTACAGAAGCGTGCTAGATTTGTTAGTTACTTTGGATTGGCCCAAACTGGATGTGAGCAAGTTAATAATACTGATAATGGAAAGTTTATAAATTATAAGGTTGAATTTTAATTCTGACTTTTTTATGTTGATGATTTTAAAGAAATTATTAATGCTCAATAATTTAATTACATTAGTTAGATATCCATTACTTCTTAGCAAATTTCGGAAGAGTTTGTTTTTTCAATTAATAAACATAACTACAAATTTTTTTAATTTTATTCACTTGTTTAAAAATGGTATTGAAATATTAGAATTCCATGTTATTAGCTTATTCATATTAAATTTAAAATCGTACCTTTTATCAAATAAATTAACAATACAGATATTTGCTTTTTCAATAGTCAAGTCTGAAAAATTAAAATCATCATGATTGCAAAGCAAGATTAATTCCTCAGGATAATATTATTTAACAAAATTATATAATTTAGAAAATTAAACCGTCAATAAACTAAAAGCAAATTTAATATTAAGAGTAAAATTTTTCTCATAATAGAGTAAAATTAAGTTACCTAATAGTGCTGAATAATTAGTCTGTCAATTCAAACAAAAATATGTTTTCCATTGTATGTGCAAATATCAATAATTTTCTAAAAAAATTGTGTAGCATTTTGAAAATTATAATAGTGGTTAATATAAAGCTTATTATTGCTTTCTTTTTTTGAAACATATTTCCAACCACTGTGTATTTCTAGATTAAAGCTAAGTAAAAGATGAAATAAAATATTATTTCATGCAAAACAAAGTTTAAACTGCTAAGAATTCATTAAAAAAAAAAAAAGAATAAAATCAATTTTAGAAAAATTTTGTACTTTGAAATGTTATTCCACTTTTTTAATTAAAAAGCTAATTGAAAATGTTTAATTTAAAAACTCATAACATGTACTTATCATATTAAAACAAATATAAAATATTTAAATTTTTTTTAGTGATAACTGAAATTGATTTAAAATTTTAGTGTTTCATTCAATCAAAATTTTTTTTAAAATTCCAGACAGTTTAAATTCAAAAACATGCACTATAATCACTTTGCTAATGTAGCTTAGATTATGCATCAGAAATGTGCTAAAACTAACTAATAATTATATAAAACTGTTTTTAGTCGATTAATTAGTAAAGCAATTCCAATATAGGAATAAAACAAAAAATAAATAAAAACTTCCTCAGCAGCTTTTCACAAAATAAAAAACAGACACAATAATAAGTATTACACAGAAATTTTAATATTACAAGAAAAATGTATATGGCTTTATGTTACATCAATGAAAGATATTTTTCTTTAAGATGAAAGACGAGACCTGCAAATGAAAATTTAAAATAATTACATTCAGATAAAATACAATTTGAAACTTTTGCAGTCAAAGCAACCAATGGTCAAAATGTCAGGTCTTTGTACATAGTTTATTGTTAACTCACTGCTAGAACTAACAAAATTGATTAAAATTCTAGCCATTTATTTCAGATTTATGCATTTTTTAAATTTTGAAAATTCTTAAATATTTGTAGTTTTAGGCCAGCTGTAACTTGAGAAATAATTGGCCAAGGAAGTTAAATTTTGTTCAGTTTCTAAAAAAATTTTAAAAAATGCATAACATAGCTAAGTTATTATAAAAATTAATTTCTTTCAAAAAATGTTTTACTAAATTTCTTTCAGCAAAGTGTGTGCCAAATTTTTAAATGATATTTGGATGGGACCATAAAGAAAAAATCTTTCCCATTGAACATTGATATTATTCACGTTAATAATAAGAATATGTCATTTTCTTGTGTTACACATAATGAGTTTTCACTCTGATTTTCCCCTGTAAAACTATAAAATATTTTTTTTCTTTTATTTTCTAATTGGAATATTATCTTGAAATTTGCACACATAAAGCTGAAAAAAGATAAACATTTCTTTAAAATAAAAATTTATATTTAAATTTTTTTTTAAAAAATAATTTTTTATAATTACCTAGCCATGTTATATATTTTTTAAAATGCCATTAAAAACAAAACAAATTTCAGTTTACTGGATCATTAGTTCTCATATTATAGTGTTTAAAATAGCACAACACACACTTTTCACAATAGCAAAACACTGAAACAAATGGTTCAAAAAAATCCAAAATTTGGTATTTTTTATACCAGAAGTTTCTATAACAAAAAATGTCAAACGCTATTAAAGCTTGAGTTGATCTAAAGATTTTTTCTTTTATTGGTTGATTTGAGACATGGAAAGACATTTGTTAATTATCTATTTCAAATAGGTCCGACTTATAACGAGCTTGTATTTAATGAGAAAAATGGAATGGTTTGGCACAGCCACTTTTTTGCCAAAATAATACAACACACACATTTTTATAACCACACACAAAAATTTGAAGAAAAAAAAAAGGGTGACTTTTAAGCCATGTGATTATAAATCCCGATGATTAATTTTAAAATTGTATAAATATGAATCACACGACCGATTTTAAAATTGTGTGACTAAGTATTGCAATATTTGGTTATAAATTTAGAGAATTTAAATCCTGATATGCGGTTTTTAAATCACGTGAATATGAAACTCTATATCGAATATTAAAAACGTGAAAATATAAATTATGATGCGTAATTTTTAGATCGCGTAAATATGAATCACGATGCATAATTTTTAAATCTCGTATAAAGTTGATGTTTGATATTACAACCACATAATAAACGAATCACTACATAGGGTTTGAAAAACTAGTAAATATAAATCATGATATTGGATTTTTAAACTCCTATATAAGAATCGTAATGTACGATATTTAAATTGCGTGAATATGAATTGCAACTTTTAAATTGGGTAAATACAATTGCATATTTAAATCTTGTAAATAAGAATCGCAATGTACGATATTTAAATTGCTTGAATAAAAATTGCAATGCGAAAATTTTAAATCAGATAAACACGAAAATCGATGTTTGAATTAAAATCGCAAGAATAAGAAGCGAGATATTAGCAGATTTTGGACATGGGATTTCTAAAAGGCTTGTTTGTATTGTTTTTGCTTGGCCATAATAAATAAAAATTTACAAGATTAATTGAATGAGCAAATAAATATTTTCACCGCAAATCCACCACTATTTTGTTTGCTTTCGTGCCAGCAAACAGGAAGCAGCAACAACCAAATCGCAAAAATCCAAGCTATCTGGCGGTTTGATAGTAAAATTGCGATTTTAAAAACGCTTAAATACAATTGCATATTTAAATCTTGTAGATAAGAATCCCAATGTACGATATTTAAATTGCTTGAATAAAAATTGCAATGCGAAAATCTTAAATCAGATAAACACGAAAATCGATGTTTGATATTAAAATCGCAAGAATAAGAAGCGAGATATTAGCAGATTTTGGACATGGGATTTCCAAAAGGCTTGTTTGTATTCTTTTTGCTTGGCCATAGTAAATAAAAATTTACAAGATTAATTGAATGAGCAAATAAATATTTTCACTGCAAATCCACCACTATTTATTTTGTTTGCTTTCGTGCTAGCAAACAGGAAGCAAGCTATCTGGCGGGTGAGTAAATATATGTAAAATCTTATTTTTTGTGTGTAACAACGGAGAAATTAGGTAAAATAAGAAAACTGTGGAAAGGTTTGCAGCAGGGTTGGCAAGTTTTTGACACGTGACGGTTTTTACAGGTTTATACCATGGTTTTTACCGTCATGTCAAAAACCCCTCTGTCAAAAACGTCGATAAGGGCCCCATCATTTTCAGTAGCTT